TAGGGTTACGGACTCTATGCTGCGGCATTCGTCACTGATCATTGTCTTGAGGGCCGCGTCGTCGGCCATCTTTTTCACTTCCTCTTTTTCTTCTATTTCTTTTTTCCTCACTTCTTTTCTTTTCACTTTCTCTCTTTTCACTTCCTTCCTTGAGTCAAAAACGGCAGCGGCGGAATAAAACATGCATTCAACACTTCCAACCAGACTCTTCCACAAGCTACCGTTGCAAGCCATGATAACAACCAGTGTCATCATCATCACCATCATCACCAAACCAAGGTTTCCACCTTCACTGCTTCTACTGCTTTGCTCTCTTAGTCCATCACACTGCTGGACCATCATCATCATCACAAGTCTTCTCAGATACTTCGTAGGGATCTTGAAGTCACTTGCTATCCTGACCTCTTCACTCTCTTCCCCAGTTTTCACACCAATTCTCTCCAAACACTTCACAACAGCGTTCCTCGACAAAGCCTTTGTTCCTACATCTGCAGGGTTCTCCTTCCCAGATATCGCTTTCACTTGGAGACCTACCGAAGTAAGCCTTTGAACCCAAAGCAGTCCTGCATCAATGTGCCTCGTTCTTCCTAGGCCTTTCTTCATGAGAATAGACCTAGCACTGCTAGAATCCATCCTAATCACCATCTCCGGCCTAATCCCTAGAACTCTGTGCAGCAGGTTCTGTAGAAAAACTCCTTCACTCAAACCTCCAACAGCTGCCACCAGTTCGCTTTCGCAGCTGCTCAAAGCCGTCGCTTTTTGCTTTCTCGCGTGAAAGTAAACGATGTTACTGTTCACGAAAATCAACACGCAGCTCCTTGACTGCCTATTCTCACGATCGGTCGCCCAGTCGGCGTCGGTCACTACCTCGATCAAACTCTTCGCCGTAAAAACGTCTTTGTAGGCATCCTCAGTTCTCTTATCCCTTGGATCCAGAAAACTCTTTCCAGGGTATGCCTCTTTGTGTTCTATAACGTAGTGGGCTGTCGCTTTCACATACTTTGCCACGTGCCTAAGCACTGCTAAGTCTCCTCGCGTTGGCGCTGCCAACTTCCCAGACAACCACTTCGTAGCGAATCCCAAATCATGTCTCTCCGGTGTCATATACAATAGGATTCCTACACAGGATCTATACAGATGATGTTCATCTGCATCCAAGGGCGTGTCGTCCTTCAACGATCTTCCGTAATCCATTGGAAACGGCAACTTCTTCGGCATGGCTTTTCCCAAACCTAAAATCTCTTCCAACTTCTCAAGATACTTGCCGTCCATCCTGATCTCTATTCCTTCTTTCGTTCCTAAGAACGTCCTCTTCAAGAAAGTACACTTTCCTTCTCCAACCTTCACTGGTCCTTCCAGCTTTATCTTCAACTTGTGCTTCAGCAGCAGATCAACCACCGCTTGGTTCTCCTTTGGTTTTCCAAACACTTCCAAATCATCCACATGTGTACTCATCAGCGTTCCACCTTCTCCTGGGTTCTCTGAAAACTTGTAGAAGAAACTTGGTAACCCCACATCGGAAACCATCTTCTCTTTCTCCAGGATTTCTCGTAGGTGCTCAAACCAATCACTGCTTCCGGTTCGTTGTCCCGGCAGGGTGTACTGCAGCTGGTACCACTTTCCTCCTAAACTCACAACCGTGTACTCCTTCTGTGGCACCTGAAGGTACGCGTCCGAAATGTCTATCGAGATCATCTCGTAGTCTCTTGAACTCGCACACAAAGCTGATAACAGCTTGATGCTCGAACCAATACTCGTTGGTGAGTATCGCGCTGAGAGATCGTAGTCCGTCAGCCACTTGTACTCCCGCGCCACTAGGCGGGCTCTCCTCTTCCATTGGAGGTCCCTATGCCTCCAATCCAACACGTCCTTTGTACTGAGTCTCTTTGGTTCTTCTCCATTCGGTCCTTTCTTCAACTCTCCATTCTCATCCAGTTCCACTTCTTTGAGAACTTTCATCTCCAATAGTCTCTCGATTTCTGTTCTCTCTGCTTTCAGGTCCACCTTTTCCAAATCTTCATCTTCCAACTTTGGTTGCCCATCATCATACTCGTGAGACCAAGTAACCGTTAGGTCCTCTTCTGTCTCACACACCTTCTCGTTCCACTTGCTCTGGAACTCTCGACTTTCTTCCAGAAACAACTGGGTCTCGTCGAGATCAACATACTCATCTCCATGCTCTTCGGGATCTTCGCTCTTGGCGAATCTCCGAATGTGGTATTCCACTCGTGCCGCGCTTCCTCGTGCTTCGTCTCCAAGTCTCGGCACTTTTTCAACTCTTTCTTCTACCTCTCCAGTTCCTTCGTCTACTCTTGGTTCTTTCTTTGGTGAACCTTCTCCTTCTTCTTCTGCATTCCTCTTTGCAACTTCTCTTTGAAACTCTTCCAACGTCATTTCATCGGGCACCAATTCATCTTCTGCTTTTCTCTTTGTTCTCACCTCTCCTGGATCATCGTCATCGTCATCGCTCTCGTCGTCCATTGCTTCTTGCGTTGCTCCAGATAGCGACGAACTCTTGCTAGAAGAACTTGAGCTTCCTTGGCGGTCGCTTGGCGGCGAAGGCTCGCTTCTCCTTTCTTCTTCTACTCTTTTGTCAGCTTCCACCGCCAATCTTGGCAGTCCTGGCCCATCATCAATAGGCACAATTCTCTTCTTCTTAAACCTCAAAGCCTTCAGCTGATGATCCCATGGAGCTCCAACCGAAAGTTGCAAAAGCTCCGGCTGATATGCCTCAGCACATCTTCTCATTGTCCTCGCTTTGATCACTCCTCTACCTGTGCCAATCAAGTTCAGATTGCTCGCGTAGTCCTTTCCAAGAAAGACTCCTTTCTCCCAAGGTTCTCCTTTCTCCTTGGTCTTTGGCACTGCTTTTCCAAACACTGCTGACCCGAACGGGGCCAGCTTCCCTTTGTACGTTCGGTCCACTGTCGCTTCAAACGCAGTTCTGCCATCTCTTCCAACATGAAACCTGTTGTGCAGCCATGCTGCATGTCTGTACGCCCAGCTATAAAGCGGGACATCAGATCCGATGGCCATTCCACTTCGTTGCTCAACCGTCGCCAACAACGTCTTTGCAAGGTTCCTCACAGTTTGGATATACCTTTCCACAGGCAACCCTTGATGCTCATCAGGCGTGGCATCTTGCAACTCCGTCTTCAAACCTTGTCTTGTTCTTGCCACTTGAACTCCTCTCCTGATGGCAATCATCACTGGCTCGGTATCCGTTCTAATCACCACTTCAGCGTAACCCAAAAGGGCTAACACTCTTACCACTTCACTCACTGCGTGGTTTATCACTGCATCTCCTCCTTTCGTTGGCACCGCAATAGCTATCAGGAACTTCGCGTCGTTGTCAACACCCGCAAGCTGAATAGCAAGCGGATCTCTCTCCCTTTCATCTCCTTGTGTTCCTGTGAACATAAAGTCCAAGCTAAACACGGGCCGTTGCGCTTTCTCTTTCGTCTCTTCAAAGTTGTCTTCTCTGCTCTTTGCTGCCTGGCATGCTTCACACCAGGGCGCTCTCGGCAAATGCGTCAACTCATGCGCTTCAATCTCTTCCGGGCTCGGCAAAGCAGGCAGAGCCTCTGGAATCGGTTCTCTCTCAAACTCCTTTCTGATATCCTCAGAGATTTGGGCTTGCGCTTTCACTTTGCTCAGCGCAACCTCTTTCTTCAATCTTTTCCACAAAATCTCTTTCGATCCATTCTTCGAGATATGCAGATACTTGCACGCCGCTTTCATCTCCTTCAACTCACTCTGGCGTGTCAACTTCATTGGTCCAATCACCATCACTTCTTCCTCATCTTCACCAATCACTGGAACTCCTCTCTTCGGTTCCTCTTTCTCACTTTCCTTTTTGTCTTTTGAACTTGAGGAGGTTCCTGTGACCTCCATTGGCACTCCTTCTTGTGCCAGTTCTCTTTCAAGCTCTTCCAAATTCGTGAGCAACCCATAGTCGCTCGGTTCCTTCAATCCTTTTTCCAACAAGGTGACCATCACCTCAAACCTTGCTTGAGGACTTGCCCCAAGTTGCACTCTTTCGCGATCCTTCCAGATCTCCGTACACTCAAAGAAATCCATACTCTTCCAATCCACTTCATTCAACACTCTTTCTCCACTTCTTTTCATCTTTCCTAGCAAGGTTGTCCTATAAGGAAAATAATCGCCTTCATCTCCTGCTCCCTCATAGAGTCTATTAGGGAACTGACCCGTTGGGTCAAACGTCTTCCCCATAAACCAATCAAACCTTGCAGGCGTGCCGTCATTTAGCACAAACCAACCATCTTCATCTTCTTTGCTCTTCAACTCATTCTTCAGTTCTCGCTCCAGCCTCACAGGCTGTACCGTCATCTCTTCTCCTTCAAGTCTCCGTATACACATCCTCGCCATTGAGGAATTCCTTTTGAAGTATATCGGTATCCGAACACTTCCTTTCTTCAACCACAATCTTCCATCTTCATTCACCGTACCCCAACCTAGCTTCCACATCTTTCCTACCGCAAACAAAGGTTGGGTGACATTGCCGCAAACAGCACTGTCAGTGATCTTCAACTTCTTTCCAGGCTCCTTCGTGAAAACAAACGTCACATTCTGCCTCACAGGCAACGTTGGGATCACTTTCCCTTGCGCATCTTTCAGATGGTACTCAAAGTTCGAAGTTTCTCCGACTTCTTCTGCCCAATCCATAGGCAACACATGGCAGTCAGCTCCACTGTCGAGCACTACCTCACATGCATCCACTTCTCTTGCTGTTCTTCTCACATCATCTCCTTCAGAAACCATTCTCACACTTCTTTCAACTTCTGTTTCCAAGAACCACCATCCTTGGTACCACTCCATCAAACCATCAGTAGGTTCTTCCTCGATCTCTTCCACTTCATCGCTCGAAGAGATATCAAACTCCTCAACTCTTCTCAGCTCTCCTTGAACCAAACCTTCAAACTCCTGACACAATCTCACAAAGTTGAGCTCTTCATCCTCATCGTTCCACTCTTGTGTCATCTCTACTCTTCTTGCTTGGCGCGCTGCTTCAGCTGTGATCTGCCTCACTTGACCAGTCTCATTCTTCGTAGGAGGGGCATTGCTAGAGTAACTCTTCTCGTGATCTCCTTGATGGGTTCCTTCCTCTTCTACCTGTCTCACTTTGCCTTTACCTCCTTTTCCTTTTCCTTGATTCTGCCAGCAATCAGCTGCTTTGTGTCCTGTCTTTCCGCATATGTGGCACTCTCCTATGAACTTTCCTTTCCCGTAGCCACCAGCGTCCACTGCTCGTGCATTTCTATAACCACCTTTTCCTTTTCCTTTGTTGTCGTATCCTTTTCCTTTTCCTTTTCCTTTGTTGTCGTATCCTTTTCCTTTTCCTTTTCCTTTGTTGTTGTACCCTTTTCCTCCTTTTCCTTTGTTGTCGTGACCTTTTCCTTTTCCTTTTTCTTTTCCTTTTCCTTTCACTCGATCAATATCCATTGGTTGTGGCCCATTGTAGGGTGTACTCTTCGTTGCGCTTTCCATGTTGAAAGACTGCAAAATGTTCTCCGCATTCCACGATTGGGTACTTCTTTCATACTCAAGCAACTTCTTCCTGATGTCTGCGTACTTCGTCGTAGGGGTCAATCCTATCAGGATATGCTTCCTCAACTCATTTGGCAAACCTTTGAGTACTGTTCCGATTTTCAAATTCTCATCGTAGGGTTTTCCTTCGGACAGTTTTTCGTATTCTGCCACCAGTTTTTCGTAGGTAAGCAGATAGTCTAAGATAGAAGTCCCCTTCGTCATCTGGGGAAAGCTCACTAGAGCTTGAGCCATTGCCAGCCCTCTTGTTCGGCTTGACGGCTCCAACTCTTCAAACAGTCTCCTCCAGACAGAATATCCATCTGGACTTCCTTCTGACTTCAATAACTTCAATGGCCTGTTCCTAAGATACGAGGCCAAAATCGCATACAGCTTTGTACTTCGCTCTCTTTCACCAACTGTATAATCTGCTGGATTTGGTGGTGCCAGCTCCACTTTCTTCAACTCTTCTGCATAAGTGGGATCAATGAATCCCACAAACACTTTGAAACTGAAACTCCAATCTGGCCACTGTGAAACTTCCTCCTCCAAATTCTTTGGAGCGAACACATCCGGACTCTTCACCAGCTTAGCTGCAGAGTCGTAACTTCTGGTACTTCCTGTACCTGCAGCACTTGCCAAAGCTTGCGCTGCTGCCGACAGGTTCCCTATCAGGGCCTGAAGGGATCCTCCTGCAACTCCATCTGGTGCAGGCATCGCCATTGGCGTATCACTTGGTGTATCTCCTCCTTGACCACCGTGACCAGGGGACACAGGCAAATCCGCGTCTCCAGCTGGACTTGGCGTGGCCATTCAACTTTCCTTTCTTTCACTTTCCGTGACACTGGGGCCCAAGGCTCGTTTCTCCTTGTATTGGGCTCTTCTTCAGCCGAAGGTCCTGGCCTTCAGCTCCGCTACCATAAAACGCTTTACGGGTACGTTCCGGACCCTTTCACTTCACACAGATATTCGCTCTTCACTTTTCCTCGGGCGCACGGCTGTCTTGGGTGCGTCCCTTGAGCCTAAACACCACAGTGGAACATTTGTTCCATACTATACAAAATCATGTGGCAAACAGCTCATCTACAGGATTATAGGGCAACACACTCCTAAGCGAAATGTTTGTTAGGAGAGCCACATCCCAGTGTAACAGGACGAAAGTCCTACAGGGAGGGAGCCTCACCCGGAGGGGAGGAACCCTTCACCCTGCAGAGCCTCCTGCCTCTGCAAAGGAGAGGGGAGGCTAGGAGGCCAAAAACCTCCTGACCCGCTCCTGATGCCCGGGGGTCATGAAATGGGCTTGCATATGTTCGATTGTAGGGCACCCGACCCTACAAGCGTAACAGAAGAGCCCATCCGGGCTGTTGACTTCACGGCACTGGGACCCGGCGCAGCAGAGGGTGGGTCAGGCTCCATCTCCTCTCCAGAGCTGCTGGGTGGGTCGTTGGCCGACCTGGCCCTGGCCGACGACTTTACCGCCGTCGTTTTCTGAACGATACTGCGACTGAGGTAGGTGTTTGCGTCCCAGGTGACTAGGGGGAAAGGGCCCTAAAAGGAAAAGTGCCTACAAAGGCTACGGCTTCCCTAAGGCATCCCACCTTGGGCCCAGAACTGCCGGAGCTTAGGTTGGTTCACAGGCTTGGGCTTCGCAGACCCTTCCCCAACATCACCAACAGACACAGTAGCCTCGGGGGCCTTGGGTTGACCTGAGAAAAAAGGGGCTAGGGCGGAGGTCTTGGAGCCTGAGGGTCTAGGGGCCCTGCTACTAGACGCGCGTGCGGGATTCCGCTCGCTCTCCACCGGTGTTTCCTTTTCCTTTTCCTTTTCCCGGTCGTGGTGCCTAGAGGTCTCTATATGGACCTCTCGCGCGGTGTGGGAACCACTACCGCTGATCCTAGAGGCCCTCAAGCTGGCCTGGAGGGATGGCTCGGGCTCCCTCAGCGCAGGGGAGGGAACCTCGGACCCTCTGCCCGGAGGCAGTCTCGCGGGGAGGCTCGAGGCCCGTTTGGCCTTTGTGCTGGGTGCCACCTGGGTGGTAACCGGCGGGCCTTGGTCAGCGGCTTTCGGAGCAGGCTGGTTGTTCCTGCCTTTTTTGCTTTTGCCTTTGGAGGAAGACTGTTCCAGGGTGCGAAGAGGCTGAGGGGAGGGGTCCTCAACCCTGTCAGCACCACTAGGGCCAGCAACCGGGCCTGGATTGTGAAGGCGACTCCCCTGGGAAAAACCGGGTCCCTCATTCCCTGCACGGCCTAGCACCTTCTGGAGAGTGTCCTGGGTGGACGTCTCCTTGAGGTATTTGGCCGCCCATTGGGTGCCACGTTTTTTGTGGGCGCGGGAGGCCCCCTCGCACTGCGATTTGGCCACAGCCGTGGGGTTAAGCTGCCCTGGCTTGTGGACCGCATAGCATTTGGTGCAAAGGAGGACCGCCCCCATGCAGTAGAAGGAGTGGGACGCGTGCAGGCCAAAATTGCTGAGATCGGGCAGCGGCCGGTGAGCGCACGGCTGTGCCTCCAGACGCCGGAAGGCCTCGGAAGAGTGGGTTTGCTGGATAAAGAGGGAACAAACCTTACAAACCAAGGAGTGGTTGTTGGGGTTCGTATGGCTCCACTCGAATTGGTGCCCGTGGTGGCCTTCCCCTGCCATTAGGGCTTCCAGGCGTTGTTTTTTATTAATACCCCCATCCGCGCCAGGACGATGCTGCCTCTGAGGGGGTTTGGCCTGTTTCGCCTTAAGCCTGGCATCAGGGCGGGGAGACCCCTTGCCCTTTACCGGGCCGTCACCGACGGCCTCCCAAGGGGGCCTGTCGGTACTCAGAAGTAGCACTTCGGCTTTGCGTTGGAGGTGTTGCGCCACCTCTCGCGCCAAATCATCTGCAGGGGATGGATCCCACTGTGGTAAGTGGGCGATGGCGGCAAGCACAGCTTCGCCACATGCGGCGTCAGCCTGGGCATTAATAGTCCGGCGCCAGCTCTGGTCGGGGCCGAATTCAGCCGCGTGTTCGGCCTCCGTGGTGTGGGACCTGGTCCACGTGACTTGCGCCAGAGACGCATTTTCAAGCGCCTGGGCCCATACCCATGGCCTGACAGCGCGGGACTGCTGCTTGACCACCGCACTGCAGTCGGAGGTGCAATCTGCCCGCTCTAACAAGTGCGAGGTGAGCCTTGCGACCGCGAAGCATTCCCCTTCGCACACAGAACTCCCCGGGGGGAGGAGGCCAGTGAGTTGGCCGACCTGGAGAGGGGCACCCTCCGTCCAGGGGAACGCGCAGATGGCCCAGGCCACTATCCTGCCCCTGGCGTCGGCCGCGTAGGGCCCACCAGAGGCGTCCGTCGAGTAGAAAAGCCCCTTTGGCCACTTGGTCTCTTTGCAGACACCAACGGCCCGTTCCGACTGTGGGCCCCAGCAGTACCCCTGCAGCTGGGTGGCCTGAGCTGGCATCAGGCCCCGTTCCCATAAGCAGTCGTAGGGGAACTGGGCAGTGAGGCGTTCCCAGTGTTTGGGAGGGGGGGTGCCTTGCCGCGCCACCATCTGCAGTCGGTGGCGACGTGGTGCTGGGTGAGGGGCTCCTTGCACAGGGGGCATAGCTGGCCAGCCTGGACATGCCTGTTTTTCAAAGCTCCCTGCCAGGCCATTCTCAGGGCGGCAGACTTAATCCGCGGGGCCTTTTTCACAAGGGCTGTGGGAACCGTCGTATCCACACCTGAGGCCAGACTGCTGCACCCCGATTGGGTGCTGATGGCCTTCCTCCGGGCCTTGTGGCAGGCACTGGCCAGGCAAGAGAGGATGGCGGACCAGTGCCTCCGTAGGAGGGGGTTGAGGGCCACCATCCCTAGGTCCTCAAGGACCCCTGCCAAGGTAGCTGGACACAGGTCGGCGGGGAATAACCAACGATCCGGGGTGGGAGCCACAAGCCCGAGATCCAGCAGATAGGCTATCATGGCCCCCAGCGGTCCACAGACCACTCGCCATCTGTCTTTCCTCTGGAGCTGGGTAGTGAGCTGCGCCCACGTGCGGTCCAGCTGCTCGCGGTCAGGGAGGCGGACCATCACCCGACAGAGCTGGGTGACAACTGCCACCCTGGGGTCCTTTACCAGCCAGGCGCCCAGTTCCAGCGCGATTTCGACGCTGCCCGTTCCAACCTTGCCAGTGATGGCGGCAGCTTGGAAACGCACCGATTTCATAGTTTTGGGGCTCACCCCTTGGGCCTGGTGTCCCCAGATCCCCGATGCCAGCACGGACATGGAAAACACCCGGCTGCTGGCCTTGATGTTGCGGACCTTAAGGCTACGTAGCTTGCCCAGTCTGGCGTTGGCTTTAGTCCGCCGCGCCGTGGAGAGGCGAGTGCACCGTCTCCTGCCAGCGGACAGCGTCATGCCCAGGTCTTTGGCAACACTCTGAATGGGGGGGTCACCCTCACCCAACTTTCGCCGCAGGGCGCGCTCGGCAAGGGGACTGCT